ACCTGCTTTTTTTTTTTTTTTAACAAGCCTTCCAGGTCATTCTGATGGAATTCTGTCAACTTGTGAACCACTGCCCTGCGGCAACAGGTTGCTCCTGACCTGGTTACTTTGACACTAATTTGCCCTGCACAGGGCTCCAGCCTGTCCTTCTGGCTGCTCTGGAGACATGTCTGGTAGAAGAAACTGGGTCTGTGGCTCAGCCAGGTGGGGCTTCCGCAAGGGCCCAAGGCAAAGAGACTACACTCCCCAGGACACATCCCTCCCGCTGCAGGGCAGGGAAATGCAAGGGGATAACCAGGAAGGAAAAGACCAGACCACCACCCAGGGAGAGGCTGTTGCGGAGCAAGGATGGGAGGGGTCCGAGGAGCTGAGTGGCAGGAAGCCCAGGCTGCGGTGGGGGCAGCTGAGTTGGAGGAGGCCCTGGAAATGGGGATTTGGAAGAACTGGAGAGAGATTCGCAGGGATGCGTACATAGGAGCTAGTGAGCTAGTTCTGGGGTAACCAGAGCTGGATGCCTGGATGGATGAAAGTTAGAGGGGAACCTATGGGGAGGTGGGACGGTGGGAGGGGGGGGGGTGGGGGGCTGAGGTTCTGCTTTGGCCCTGGTGATGGGACGGGGGATGGTGGGTGGCAGGTGAGGGTGGAGGTCTGGAGTCTCAGATTTAGGAGTAGGGGGCTTGCATGAAGGAGGACAGCTGGGGAGGGGAGGGGCCAAGGAGAAGGGGAAGAAGACCTGGCTGGGGTTGGAGGAAGAGCTGGGGCTCAGTGAGGGCACCGGGCACCCAGCGGGCACCCAGCGGAGGGAGTGGCGGCCTCACCACTTTGTTCTCGTAGAGGACCAGCCCATAGTTATGGGGCACGAGGCTGAAGCGGTTCCTCCACTTCTTGTTGTCCTCCTGGTACTGGAAGAGGTTCCCCGAGAAGATGATGCGTTCATCCAGCGGCACCTGTGGGAGGGAGGAGGGCGGGAGTGAGGCCGACGAGGCCGAGGGGTCCTCTGACAAGGTGACAGCGGGCCTGGGTGCCTCCGCGCTCACCCATGAAGGCCTCTGAGGCAGGGCTGCATCCAGCCCACTTGGCAAACGAGGCAAGTGAGGCTCAGGGCAGTGAGGGGTCCAGGAGGAGCAATGGAGATGCCAGCGCTTGAACCCAGGCCGCACACCACAATTCAGAGCCCAGGCAGGACCCCAGGCCCTAGCGGACACAGCCACCTCAGGATGGGTCTGGGACTTCCTCTGAAGGGCAGTCACTCCACAGAAGGGACACGCCCACGGGCCAGGCCGGTGAAGGCCCCAGGGCCTGGGCAAGTCTCTTCCCAGCTCTGGGCCTTCATTTCTCCTCGAGGCAACAAACTCTTGGCCAAGGTGGCTCCAGAGAGCCTCCCCAGCCGAAAGCTGATGGGATGGCCTCTGGATGGCCATGAATCTGGGTCGGGGTGCAGGGGACCCCAGTCTGAAGGGCTCGACGTCTAACCAGCATCCTGGCAGACTGGTGACCAGTGTGAGCGGCACAAACGCCCAAACCTGCCTGCAAAGCCCTAACTTCAACTCTGCCTCTGACCCAGAGTGACCTCAGGCCTGTCACATCACCTCTTTGAGCCTCAGCTTCCTCTTCTGTACAATGGGACCGTGACAGCACTGACTTCATCTCGGACTCTGAGATGACGTGTGCAGTTCACACAGGCAGCTGCAGCTGCTGGCACCTGGGGGGCCGGGTGCAGCCCACAGTCCGCGTGTGGCCACAGTGAGGATTACTCAGTCTGCGTCAATCTCCCAGCTCCGAGACTGACTGCTTTGGGGAGGAGGAGGGGCCCCGTGAGCGAGTGCTTCCAGAGCAGATCAGCGCCCGGAAGTTTCGCCCAGAAGTTTCGGGAAAGGAGACACAGGCCACCAGGGAGCAGACTCACTCCTGGCGGGGAGGAGCTCGGGGAGCCGAGGGCTCCACGCTTTCTGGGCAGCTTCTACCTGTTCTACAAATATGGTGCCTTTTGCAGGAGAAACATGGACCAGATGTAATCATGGGAGAAGCGTGATTTCATGGTGCCTGGCCCCCTAGCTTCCTGGCTCTGCCTCTGGCGGCCCTGCAGCGGCAGCCTGGTGTGAGGGGCCCCTCCCAAGCCGCCCCCAGGCCCCGGCCTCGGCCTTGGCCTCACACGCAGCCCCCTCTTCCCAGCAGCTTCCCTACTACCCTTCAAGGGGAAATGCCAAAACACTCTTGGAAAATGAGGGCCCATTGTACTTAAACAATAGGACCCTGAGGACTGCTTCCTACCCAGGGATAAAAATATTTACGGGAAAAGAAAACGATTCCCCCTACCCACCACCCCGCACGCGGGCTTTGCCCAGGTCACAGCTGCGGGTCAGTGGGCTATATTTAGGCCAGGGCCCACTCTCATCCCACCTCCCAAACCCCAGGTCTTCTAGAAAGAGCTGAGAGAGCCCTCCCGACACCCTGCTGAGACCCTGCAGGCCCCAGGCCTCCGCTTAGGACAGGAGCCAGGACTCAGGGGCAGTGGGAGCCTGTGGCAGTTGGGGCTCAGCAACCTGCCCCACCCCGCCCCCCAAGTCCACCCCCAGATCCTGGGCAGCCAAGAATGGGTGGTTGGTTGTGGGTTTGGGTTTTATTTTTAAGACTTTCAAATGGCAGCGTCGTGTTTCCATTGGAAGGTCTGCAGGAAATGAAACAGAACCGACCGCCCAGGCAAAATATTTTGGATTCTGCAAAGCTCTCCAATACCACGGTGGGACTCTTCGGGGTGGGGGTGGGGGGGTGAATGGTCAGCGCACAGACCCGGTTCCAACAGCCCCAGTTCCAGCCCCAGCTCCGCCGCCCACGCCAGGGCAGCCTGCGCAAGCACCGGGACCTCTCCACGCCTCAGCGCCCACAGCTGGACGAACCATGCCCCCTTAAAACACCTGCTACTATTTTATTACTTCTGCTTTGATTATGACTATACCTATTTTATTATTGTTTCTTATAAACACAATGTGATGATGATGACCATGATTAATATCATTACTTCTATTACTATAATATCACTGTCACGACTTAGCATCGTGATGGCCAATTTCCTGAGTGACAAAATGGGACCAAATCTCCCTGCTTCCCAGGGGTTGTGGATGATTTCTGTTACTCTTCTTGCTTCCGTGTTAATTCTGTTTTCCTACAACGAATCTGCACCGTGAGTGCCGAGGGCCCTTTTCACACAGAGTAAAGGCTTGTGCTGTCCGCCAGCCCCCACTGCTGTCTTCGGTTATTGGGACCTGGATCCCTGTGACATTTCTTTCCAAACAGGGGGCCATTCCAGCTCTGCCCACTCGACGTAGCTCACCTGCCTCCTTTCCTGTCACCCAGGTGTGCACCTGCCAGACCCCCAGGCCCCCCTGTGCGCCTCTGCCCTCCTGGTCAGAAGGTCGGCAGGTTGCCATGACACCAGGAGAAGAGCCTTGGCTGGTTCCAAAGTCAAGGGAACATGTGATGCTCTGAGAGGCTCTGACACACAGTCCTGACCTCCCCTCCACCCCAAGCAGGCTGGGCGATGAGGCGTGGAGAGTCAGAAAGAGCCCTAAGCTAGGAATCCGACCCTGGCTCAGAGTCCTGCCTCCGCCATCCCGGGCGAGCCATTGAAAGGCTCAGCTCTGGCCTCTGCACGTGCCATTGCCTGATATTCTTTTCCCCATCAGGTTCTCAGCTGAGAGGCCAGGCCCCCACTGCCTGGGCTCACCCTGTGGTGGCACCCACGGGACTGTGCAAGCAGCTGTTCATTGTCTGTCTCCTGGAGTGCCTGCCGATGACTTCGGGGCCAGCATCTGACCTGGGTCCCGGACAAGGGGCCTGCCGGTCTCTCTCAAGGTCATCCCTAGTCTCAGCAGCTCTCCCAGCCCCTGAGCTAATGCCTCCAGCTGTTCCCCCAGCTGAGAGGACACCAGAGAGTAATGAATCCTCAAAGCCAGGCTAGTGACACCAGCTCCCGCCCCACTGGGGCTTCAGGGTAGACAGCACAGTTTTCAGTCCCTCGTTTGGGGAGGATGGGGAGTGGGATGAAATAAAATAAAAATCCCGGTGTCAGGCCTTCCTAACCTTTTCTGTCTGCTCTGCTGCCTCCCCTGCCCCCATCCCCACCCCCAATGCCTGTATCCATGCCTAAGCCCCATGAAATCCCACCCCTCCACGAAGCTGCCCTGAGTCCTCTGGCCCATGACTCCTCTGTCTGAATGCCATTTCACAGACAGACAAACTGAGGCTCAATAAGGTGAAGCCCCATGCCTGAGGTCACCAGCAGGTCAGGACTCACACCCCCTGAGTAATCCCACCTGCCCCCAAACACACACATTTATCCTCTCTGCATCCTCACCACGGCCCTACGCAGGAGGTACGCACCCACTTGTCAGATGAGAAGACTGAGCCTTGGGGGTTGGATCAACCTAGAGAATTTGAACCCAGATCCTCCCGAGTTCTTTCCTACCAGACCACGGGGTTCCAGTCTCCATCCCTCCATGACAGTGGCCCCAGCACCTCCAAGGGCGCTTCCAGTCCCTCGCGGGACAAACACGTACTGGACAAACATCATCCTCCCGCTAACAGGATCAGGTGATGACAACTGTGTCAGCCGGCGCCACCAAACACCTTCCCTGCTCCCGGCACCCACTGACACGCATCTTTAACCCTTACAGCATCCTGTGCAGGAGGTGTGCTGATCCATTTTACAGAGGCGTAAACTGAGGATCCAGGAAGTGAGGTAGTCAGAGAAGGATCTGGCTGGAACCCAGGCCTGTCTGTGCAGGAGGGGCAGGGCTGGGGGTGTCACCCACAGTGAGAAAGGGGCCTGGACACCACCACCAGGTCCTCTGCCTACTCAGAAGCTGGGTGGGGCCCTGAGAGCCCATCATGGCAACAATGGGCAGCTGAGGCCCAGAGAAGCAGTCACTGGCTTGAGACCACAGGGTGAGCGATGTCAGAGCCCGGCCAGAAGGCACGCCAGCTCGGGGCCTCTCACCTTCCTCGCGAGCAGCTGGGCCTGCGGTCCCCCGGTGGCCTCGATCTCGTGGCGCATGCTGTTGAAGAGGGCGACACCATACTGGTCCTCATAATAACGAAGGAACTCCGTCAGGATCTTTCCCGTTTTCTCTGAAAGGGAAGGACCAACGGGAACATGAGGTCATCACAGTTATTTGCATGCAGCGACTCTGCCCCAGGGAGGAACGTCCACGCCCCCCAAATTCCTGCTTGTAAAATGGTTTGCTTTCGGCGTTGCGTTTCTGGGCAGGAGCGTGCATTTCCTGCACACACCTGGGGGAACCTCCGGGCAGGGAAATAGGCAATGACCCGAGACAGAGAAAGGACGAGGAAGCCAGAGACGAGTGAAAAGGCACTCAGCCTAGAACAAATGCAGCCGGAACCAAGACTTCAGGTTCCCGTCAGACCAGAATGCCGAGGAACGGGCACCTGACCGGGGCTGGGGTGTTGGAACGGGACGGCCCTTTTGGAGGGTGACTGGCAGCTGTGGGCACAAGGTTAAGGCCGTGAGGAGACGGAGGAGGGTCTATAGGTATGAGCATCAACCGCGGGAAGGTGTCCACACTCCGTCACGTAAAGAAGAGCGAGCCGCAGAATCGCGCGGACTGCCATTGCATTTGAAGTTGGCCCTGTCTGTGCATGTAAACCTCCTGGAGGCTTATGGGACGAGGTCGGGAAGGCCACACTGCAGACTGTGGACATGGGACCTCTGGGTGTGGGAATGAGTGCAGAGTCCATTCCATCTTCTGCTTTACTCACTTTTATAGCATTTAATTAGCTTATGTGCGTGATTCTTTTCACAATAAAAATAAATATCCTAAAGTGACTCATCTACCAAGTTAACAACCTTTTTGCTCGCACTGGTCGTTGGCTTCTCTCTTCTGCTAAAGCGGTTTCTGAACCGAGAAAGTGAGTCCTGTGGCCTCGGGCACCCGCCAGACGCTCAGTATGTGCACTGCCAGGCATCCCTCTGTGCAGATGGAGAAACTGAGGCCCGGAGAGGGCTGTGACCCATGACAAGGGGCCGTCTCCTTGGGAAAGACTTCCTGGTGCTGAGTCCCGACCAGGGGAGTGTGCGCTGGCCCACTGTACCTCTCTGGGCCTCAGCTTCCCCTGCACACTAACAGCTGGACTCAATCACAAACAGGCCCTGCTAACCTGGCAGCCTCGGATTCCAGGTTTCTCAAAGGAAAAGAGGCGGATGTGACACTGTCCCTCTCATGCTGGTCTCTGGGGGCAGCGGGCACCCGGCTAGGACAGCAGTTCATGGAATCCTCTCCATAGCTCTGTGAGGTAGAACTGGGTTACACCACTTTACTTTATTTTTTAAAAAATATATTTTTATTGACATTTTTGTTGATCAGAAAGGAAGGGGGAATCCTCTCCATAGCTCTGTGAGGTAGAACTGGGTCACACCACTTTATTTTTTTAAAATATATTTTTATTGACATTTTTGTTGATCAGAGAGGAAGGGAAAGGGAGAAAGAGATGGAAACATCAATGATGAAAGAGACTCATTGATCAGCTGCCACACTGGGGACCGAGCCCATAACCTGGGCATGTGCCCTGACCAGGAATCAAGCCGTGACCTCCTGGTTCATAGGTCGACACTCAACCACTGAGCTACATGGGCTGGGCGGGTCACCTCATTTTACAGAGGAGGAAACTGAGACGCAGAGAGGTTAAGTCTTTGGCACAAGGTCGTACAGCTAGCAGGCGGCGTAGCTGGTATGTAATCCTGGGGCCCAGCAAGGAGGTGGGGTCAGGGAGGAGGCCAAAAGCATGTGCGCCATCCTCCACCTGAGGTCTCAGACAAGCCACGCCCTCCACCTGGAGGAAGCTCAGCCCCTGGAACCCTGTCCACCAGGGGCCTGGCCCTGCCTGTGCTCCCCTTCCCCGGATGAGATCCTGTCTGTCCACATTCTGTCTTAGAGGGAACACAAGGAGAACAGATGAGGAATTTGCTTTGAATGCCTATTTCTTAAAACCATAAACAACCAGAACCCTCTCAAAGACCATGGGAATTGTTTTGAAAAATGAGGCAAGATGGGGAGCAGGGGTGAGGTGGGGGGAGAGATGGTAATGAATTGGGGCCAAATAGAGAAAATAGGACCCTAGACGACAATCATGTTGATAAATCCTGTAATCACTATCATAATAGTTACCATTGATTGTTAACCCGAGCGGGTCGGGGGGGGGGGCAAGTTTTACAGGCACGATCCCCAAGAACCTTCAGGAAAAGCCTAGGGAGTCAGCACTACTGTTTTTCCATTTTATGGATAAGGAGGCTCCTGGTGCCAGAACAGGAGAGCGGGGTTCTCAGCCATCAGCCCACTCAGCCTCGGTCTGGGGTTTTGCCCCGAGCAGCCTGGCTCCCATGGGCACTCTCCCAGGGTGCAGGATGGGTAGGTGTGGGCCCTCCGACCTTGAGGGTCCTTCAGCCAAGTCTGTGGGACCCAGCCCTGTGCACCCAGCCTCGGACAGAGCATTCTTTCTAGAAGGGCCGGGAGCTGCCCTGACCTCGGGGCGCCAGGTCCAGGAGGAAGCTGAACCCGGGTCTCAGGTGCCGGTCAGCGAGGGCCAGACAGCGTATCCAGGCAGCGTTCAGGAGGCTAGACGAGGGCAAAGTGCAGGGAGGGCAAGGCCAGCCAGATGAAGTCCAGGCATCACCGAGGGACGGCGTCCTGCAGGGCCCCGTTGGCTGGGGCTGTGGGTTGGAGAGGAAGCTGGCAGAGGCCGAGGAAATGACAACCCGAAGGAGGTGACCCAGACAGAGCCAGAAGGCGAAAATGAGGCGGACAGACCTGAAACATCCGGCTGAGAGCGGCCGGGGTGAGCGGGGAGGCGGGGATAAAATTCATTTGAAACCTCTCACATTATCCAAGGGCAACTGGGGGCCGGGGGCCAGGAGTGAAGGGCTAGAGGACTCGGGGAGAGGGGAGAAGTCGCCAGGCAGAGGGTGGAGAGAGGAAAGGGTACCAGCAGAAACTTGGAGCAGGAAAAGGGGAGGCAGCCCCATGCGCCCTGCACCCCCAAACAGACTGCAGCAGCCCCAGACCCCACCCCACCGCAATTACAGACATGCCTTACTATCCGAACTCAAGAACTGTACAGATCTGCCTTGTTTTTACTTTTATTTTATTTTTATTTTTTTGATCTGCTGTTTTTAGATAAACCCTTTGCTGCCTAAAGTTCTAGAACCAAACAGATTGAAGAGCGTGGGGTCTCTCACACCCGTCTCACTCTCCCAACTCGGGAGCCAAGTAGCTGGGGATGCTCGTTTGTGTCTAAGGATTGACTGCAAGCCCAGGGTGGGTGGGCTTATGGTCGCCCCTGTGGCCTGGCACAGCAGGTGCTGAGGGAGGGGGGTCCATCCCCCAAATGGTTACAGAGGGCCTGCTCTGTACCAGGCCCCACAGGACGGGCAGAGGCTGGGTAAGGGGTGGTGGCAGGGGCATTCCCCAAGGGGTTAAGGACTAAGAGGTGGCATCGCTAGGGAGCTGGGCGCTCGCCTAAGTTTGGCAGCAAAGGGAGCGCTGGAAAGGGGAGACTGAGGGGGACGCTGTGGCTTCTTGGCAGAGGCAGCCCCGAGCACATTCTTGAGAAATGTCCTAAGACAGCTTGGGAGGAGCTGCCCCCGGCTTGATACAAAGGAAGTGCCTGCCACAGGAAGGCCGAGGATGAGGACTCTGGACCTCAGAGAGGCAGGAGGGGAGGGGGCCAGCCCCCTTCAAGGACAAAGAGCTGGCAGGGGACACACCCTGGACAGGGTCTCCCTCTCTGGCCAAATGTTGCTGGAGGAGGAGGACCCTGCCAGCCCCCTCCTACAAATGCTACTCCGCACCCCACTTTCCTGCCTCCCTGCAGGGGCTGTCTCCCTGGGGTTGCCACCGGGATTTTACAGCTTGAATTCCCGTCCCTGCATGCGTGGGTGGTCCCCGAGGCCTCAGGCGCCCCTCTGTCCTCCCCACCTGCCACACCAGCTCTTCTCACTTCCTCCCAGAGCTTCTGGAGACACCACACCATGGATTTGGGAACTCCAAGACCAAGGCTCACAACCATGAAGGGGACTCAGCCAAAGAGGGTGAGGGGCTCCCCTGAGGTCACGCAGCCAGACTGAGGCACTCAGCGTTCAAGGCGCAGCCTGCTGACCCCCTCCTGACCCTGCCTCTGACCACTGCTCCACAGAGCACCCCTCCGCCCCTGGGCCCAGGAACTGAGAGACCCAGGCTAGTTGTAGGGACCCTGTTGCTGCTGGGAGCTACAGAGATGCTGGGGCAGAGACGTCTGAGGGTGTGTGCTGGCTTCGTCTACCTTCCACATTCTCTCACCCATTCCCCCTCCCTCCTGGCCCTGACCCAGCCCCAAGTGCTGTAGCAGGAGAAGGTAGTGGGCCTGAGACCTTGCCCTCCAGCCTCAGGCTCCCAGCTTCCTGGTGAGGAGCACAGGGTGGGAGATGGAGTCCCAGTTCCGCCAGACCCCAGGCCTGCAGGAGCCTAGCTCTCTCAGAGCCTCAAGTTCCTCATCTGTAAAATGGGCATAACACAATCCATTCACAGTGCTCTGCAGGTCAAGGATAGCCCTTGAAGCGCTCAGTTCAGACCTCCATAAATGTTACTTTAATCATAACAGTTCTCAGCCTTTAACAATAATATAAGAGACTAACATTCCTATTAGCAGGTATAACTTTTAGAGTTTGAAAAAAATCCAATAAAAACTTAAAAAAAAAGAACCAGGAAAGTAATCACAAAATAAGAATAATGATAAAGGTGGGCAAGTCTTCAACAGACAAAGGTGAGCCCATGAGGAGGAAGGAACGGCACAGGCAGAGGTGAGGGGGTGGGAAAGGCAGGCCGGGTGTGTGCGTGGAGCACCCCGGAATCCAGGCTCCCACTCAACCTTGGCGGGGTCCCTTGGCATAACCTTCTGCCTCTACTAGTGCCCAGAGCCGATCACTGCCCGCTTCTGTGCCCCTCTGCCAGCACGTCCCACAGAATTAGGAGGGCCCAACACACCCAGATTCTTCAAATGGCCCAGAGGTGAGTACGGTAAAGCTCTTCCTTTACAGGTGTATGAACCGAGGTCAGAAAGCTTAGTGGCTCACGAAGGGCCATTTCTCTCTGTCAGTCAACCAAAACCTAG